ACAAATAAGGACAACTACAAACCAAAAAGAGGGAAAAAAACTGTGTTGTTACAGAACTTCTAGATGGTAGGGAAGTCAAGACAACTACAAGATAGAATGGACTATTCTAAACTTGGGAAGAAAACTATAAACCACAGGGTAACCTCAAAGAAAAATGATAAACCTTTACATCAAAAAAGAGGACCAGCATAACTATTCAGCAAATACTAAAACAATAGCAATGAAGGAAGTGATAACGTGATTCATAAACAAAACAAGCTCAGCATAGAAAATTATATGGAACAAAAAAATTGACACCACAGAAAAGCACATAACAAAAATGACAGCAACAAATTCATATTTGCCAATAATTACATATCTGGCAAGGGACTTATCTCCAAGATGTATAGCAGAAGAGTGGATGACCAAACTATGGTATATACACATAATGGAATGCTATATAGCATTAAAGAATAACATAGAGTCTGCAAAACACCACATAATATGGATGAACTTGGAGGACATTATGCTGAGTGAAATAAGTCAATCACAGAGGGCAAATACAGTATTAGTTCATTGTTGTGGAGGTTCAAGGAAAGGTTTATTTATGAAAGGAAACTTTCTTTGTTGGTTGCCAGGGGTGGGAGGGAACACTAGGGAAAAAAACGTATTGATCCATGTCACTTTAATTTTGTGTGTTTCACTGTACATAAATTGTATTTCAATAAAGTACATTAAAAAAGAGAAAAAGCAAATGATCATTTCAAACAGATGCCAAAAAAACTCATTTAACAAAATGAACATATATTTCTTTTAAAAACTCTCAGTAAATAGAAAGGACGGCCTAACATGATAAAAGGCATCTGCAAAAACCTATAGTTAAGCATCATACATACTGCTTTCCCCCTAAGATCAGGAAAACAACAAAGATGTCAGTTCAAATCTTCTATTCAAATTTACATTGTATGTCCTAGCCAATGCAATAAGGCAAGAAGAGATAAAAAGGCATGCAGATTGGAAAGGAAGAAGTAAACATGCCTTTATTCACAAATGACATGATCATCTATACAGAAAATCTAATGGACTCCACACACACACACACACAAAAATCCCTACCAGAACAACAAGTGAATTTAGCAAGGTTGCAGAATATTATAATCAATTTTACTTCTATATGCTAGCAACGAACAATCAAAAATTAAATTCATGAAAACAATATCATGCACAATAGTATCAAAAATATAAAATACTTATAGGGTACACTGCTGGTGGGACTGTAAAATGGTACAACCATTGTGGAAAGCAGTATGGCGATTCCTTCAAAAGTTGGAAATACAAATACCATTTGACCCAGCCAT